GTTAAAATATTTAAGACTGGTGCCTGGAGGGTAGTAACTGCCATTCAATTGCTAACTCATTATTATTTACTAATGGTTCTGACTTACCAAGATTTGGGAATATGTGGTTTTACAATCTTTTTCTTGCCTGGCCTCAGACACATATAGCTTCCACTGATGATTGGTTTGACTAAGGTATGCTCAGATCTGCCAGCAACATATATATATTCATACTCAGGTAATAAGTGTGAAAATCTGGAGCCATTCTCTTGGGGAAATAGGAGCCTCAAAGACAAGGTTGAGGCTGGATATACATTCAGCCTCTTGGGTGACCTATAAATGGAAGACTTAAGTGTATGATATATACCACTCCACAGAAGAGGCTTCATCTGGGATGGGGTCAGACAATAAACGAAAGTCATAAGCAAGAGAAAACACTAAATGTTGAGAACCATGAATCAAAGTACTGGGGAAAAGGAACAAGTAATAGACCTTAGGATGCATGAAATAATCCTGCTAAGCTATACTTTCTTTTTGCTACCTGGGGATATTTTTTAATGGACTTTCTATACATAAAGCAATTTTGCCTTCATCTTTATAGTACTGTTATTAGGAAGCTGAGTTGCTAAGCCCAGCGTTTGGTGGACCTGAGGTGACACCTAAGTGCTTAATTAGATGTTCCCTGGCATCAGAAATGGAGGGTCAACTCTATGCCAGGCTGTAAAAGGACAGACAATTGTATATCTAAATGAGATGTGGAAAGAAAGGAATTTAGCAACTGAATCAGTTCAGGACATTTGTATAAGATACTAAAAGCTATTCAAAAAGAGAGAACTAAAAAAAAAAAAGTTGGGGACCAAATTTAGACAAGATTCACAATGGAATATCCAAAATGCTGGAGGAAAGGCAGAACCCTAATCTGGAGTAAAGTTGAATTAAAGACCAAAAAGGCAATAAAGTGTCACAGAGAGAAACAGGAGGAATAGGGCACCAGGAGCTAAGATAAAAATTTATTGAGCAATCTATTGCTGTCTTAATTGACTGTCACTGACCTAGCAGCATATCAGTAACAGGGATTTTAAGAAGGCATGCTGTGGGTTCTGACAGCAGCTTATATCATAGCAAACCTCCTTCAAACCTGTACATGTTATGATACTTAGGCAAGGTCCCAAAGTTCATGAGATCTTCCATTCACATGAGAATTGCACTAACCAAATAGTATCTTACCACCTCCAGTTTATTTATACCACATAACCTCAACAGATTTTCACAAAGTCTTAAAGGTCCCCCAGCAAAGGCTTAAATAATTTCCAACAAAGACACTGAGGGACTTAAACAAAAAGTACTTAAAACAAATGACTTTTTTTACTCCTCGTTTAGAAAAGAATGGGCTAACGTTCATTGACTTATTCGGGGAAATTTATTAAACCACCTACTATAAGCCAGGAACTGTAGATACAAAGACTAAGAGGATAGGATCTGGGCCCCAAGGGACTTACAGTGTGTGGGGAGGTAGGTACAGGCATGTAAATTAGTAAGGATAATAAAATGTTACAGGTTCTATAACAGAAGTATGTTGATGGTAAAATAGGACATAAAAAGAGTGATCAATCTACATGGGTAGGGGGATCGTAAAGTCTTTAGAGAGAAGGTGACCCTTGAAAAAATAAATACAGCAAATCAGGATATGGATACGTATTACATTAAAAAATCATATAATTTATTCTTTATTATAAGAAAGTGACATCTATATAGGAATGGATAGGCTAAAAAATATATTTCTTAAATCCCTCTATTTTCAGGAATGCTCCACTAGCCTCGTTAGCAATTGGTGAAAATTTGTCATGCTACGATTCAGTCAAACATAATTTGTAATCAGCTCATTATATAAGGCAAATTAAGACAGAAGTTTTTCTTTTCTATTGTATGTGAAAATCTTATTCAAGATTTGTGTGCACATATATCAGTTTGAATATTATTGGCCATATAAATTTTTGGTAGTTATCTATGACTGTTAGAAATTCTTCCTCCTGGACACACACGGCCACCCATATTTAAAGCATTTAAGGGATAGTTATTTTGAACAAGGTTACTCGGTAGCTGATGAACTGAAAAGGCAGAGGTATAGCTATTAGAAGTAAAACTTCAGCTAGTGGTATCTAGCCAGGATTGTAATCTTCAGATGTGCACAACATGAAGGTATGTGGACCACATACTGGTTTCTTCAGCCACTCTCTCTTGCAGAAAGCACAATCTTCAGAGCACCATCTTGCAAAACTGCACTTCTTACAAATAAATTCAGTTCTGGTCACTGTGATCAACCAACACTACAATTTAATCTTTGCTAGGCAGTCATTTTGGCCTCCATGCAAGTAAGCCTCATTCCTCATTGTAGGAACATGAAGTAAGTACCTAGTCTATTACCAAGTCAACTCATCCAAACCTCTGAAGGCAGCCTTTGAATATCTTCATTGGAGAAGTGTTTTTATTATAAATTTCTCACAGTAGTGCTTACATCCCCCACATAGCCTCACAGAAACTCCTGTGTGTCGTCAGTGGCTTGGCTCAAGCCTTCCTCCGCCTCACTTTAATGGTCACTGCATCCTCACCTCTACTCTTCTCTCCTGGAATGTGTTGCATAAAAAATAAGTCTGGACACAGCAAGAGAGACTTTATTTCAAAGAATTATGATAAGGGAGAGGGAGTGAATGACCATCACAATAGGTGGAGTGGACTTCTGCAATAGGGACAGTGCTTTGACCATAAGATCTGTAAGCATGTCAAGAATTAGACACAAAGAGTTTTGTTTGTTTGTTTTTTTTAATAGGAAGATGTAAACAAGGCTAGAAAGAACCTGATGTGGGGAAGTGGGATGAAAGGATGGCATAATCGGATAGATCAGAAAACTCTTTACCCGGAAGCCAGCCTATTCTCAGGAGGAGGTATTATATGCTGGCTAAAATTCAGGGACCCGGGGGGAGAGAACTTTAACCACAGTTTGGTTAATAAACATGTTTTTCCAATTGATTGATGGAGACAAGCAGTTGTGCTAATCATATGTGAGGTAAAGAATGGAAATTTAGGAAGGGGGGCGCTGTGCCTGGCCTTGTCATAGATAAACAAGGGACATATCTGTGCCTCTCATCTAAGTCATGTGGTGAAGAGCAATTTTTTTTTGCAGCAAGCTGCTTCCAGAGGGTGGGGAGATTTTTTTAAACTTTGTTGTTTTTCATGATCACAGGACTCAGGTAAAGTTTAACATCGTTCACTAACATTAATCAAAGACAAGTTGACTTTGGGCCATGCTAGTAGGAAGTGCAGCTTTTAATATAATGTTGGGAGTAAGTCAAAAACCCTGCCTTTCAAGCGGCTTATACTGATGTGGGTTTCTTCGATATGCCTAATCTAGGTAAAAAGAATCATGATTCAAGCCAGATCAAAACTCAATAGGAAGACTGGGGGCTAAATAGCAAACAACAGAATGCATTTTTCTAACCCTGTCTTCTATGTCTTTATCTTCCCTGGTGATCTATGGAAACATCTAAGCCTTAGGTCATCAAGTACTTTGTTTTCACAGTCATCTATTGCTTTTTACTTTGGAGACACACCTGACACAAAGTAAGCAGAAAAGAGAGAAGCTAACAGTGTTGAAGGCTCAGAAGTTAAGTCTTTGGCAGAGTTATACAGAGAATCAAAATCTCCTAAATTCCCAGATTTAAGCATTTCCAGTGAAAGAAGAAAACCAAACTGTTTTCCTATACTATTATATTATTAACAAAGGTAAATAGCCCACTGCAGCTACAGTATGTGCCTTTGGCTCAGGAAAAAGAAGATCTACTTCTTCCTCTTCCTTTTCTCTCTAAACCATAGGGGAACAGAAAGGTGGACACCTGGGTGGCTCAGTCGGTTAAATGTCTGCCTTTGGCTCAGGTCATGATCTCGGGGTCCTGGGATCAAGCCCCATGTCGGCTTCCCTGCTCAGTGGGGAGCCTGCTTCTCCCTCTCCTTCTGCCCCTCCACTCTGCTCATGCTCTCTCTCTCAAATAGATAAAATCTTAAGAAAAGAAAGAAGGAAGGAAGGAAGGAAGGAAAGGAAGGAAGAAAGGAGGGAAGGAAGGAAAAGGAAAAGGAAAAGGAAAAGATAGATCGTACGTGGAGACCGTCCCTGGTATAGACTCTCAGCACACACCCAACCTGCAGAGGAAAGCACCCTTCCCAAAGCAGTATAAATAATCAAAATAATGTTAATTTAGCTGCCATAGTTCCGCACAGGACTTTCAGAACATATTTTACTATGCTGCTTCACCCAAAATAAAATCTATTATTAGCAGAAGAACAAATAGATTAATGAAAGAGAATATAATAAGGCAACATAAGTTCTAAGAACATTTAGGAAATTCACCAAAGTATTTTCTCCATTTATAATAGCTCCACAATTAAGTTATTACCATACTATCTGAGACAAGAGAACTAATACTTTTGTTGTGCCCATTCCCAAAATCTGTGCAGAAACCAAGCCAGCCTCATAATCACTAAGCTCAGCATTCCATTAGGAAAATAACACATAAAATTGAACATAGAGATGATAGAAATAAAACTTCTAAGGTGGAAACTGACTTTATTACTGCTAAATCATATGAATAATTTCTAATTGATTTGTATTGGGCCAGCATCTTATATTCCAGAACCATGTTCATCTATTTATCACAATATTCTATAATATGACATATGGAAACTAATACAATGCTTCATTAATATTTACGGTCTTTCTCTAGTTATGGCTCAGAGATATTTAACATTCTAAAACATAAGCACTGATAATTACATGTTTTACATTTTACTCTAATTTTTAATATTGCCAAGATTATTTAGTATAACTAACTTTTTAACTATGTACTCTTTTCTCTCTAACCATTAGCATATCAATCAAATTTGCATTATTCTGGCTTGCTCATTTTATTAAAAGCGAATTCAGAGCACAATTGACTTTTCATTTGTTTAACAAGTGAAGAAATATTTACCCTGACAGCCATTGCATTGTAGAGATTCATCTTCATAGCACAAGATGCGAACTGTGAATCAGGAAAAAAAGAGACGGCATATAGTTCAGTTACACAAAGACAGTGCAGCCTATTTTTACATATAAAAGATAAGAATCTTTATACATAATACATAATAAGAGTTCTGGGCTTAGAAAAATGAAATCAAACTTTGTATTGAAGAGATAGGCTTCCTAATACATAATGCAGGCTTAACCAGAAAAATCTATGGTAGTCAAACTAGGAGCTAATGGAGATATATGATCATAAAATGCTCTCCGCTGAGTTTGATAATCAATGGTGCTCTACTGAGAATAGAATAACAAAGCAGAAATATTCACAAGTGCTGGTGACACGTAGTATTGTATGATTTATTCACTGGGGTTCTTTTAGCCAAAACTCACAGTAACATAAAAGGAATTCATATTTCAAGACGTCTGGTTTAATGAAAAATTCAAAGAAATGCTGTCTTCAGTCGAAATCCTTCAAGGATATGGATGCAGTGATGGAGCAAAATTGTGCCTTCCAACCATCTGTACAAAATGTTATGTACTTAGCTGCCTCCTGAGTAATCCTTGGGAATTTTGTTTCATTTAATATTCATTTTAACACCATAAAATCATAAATACAATGATATCACGTTACAGCAAATCCCCTGATATAGTGAAGACTTCCTAAGGTCTTGGTTTCTTTCTAGTATAGATACATCTGTCTATTAATATACAAATCTCTGTTACACTACATAATCATTTAGCAACATAGCTTATTTCAAGGCAAATATTGCTTTAAATGAAGTCTCTACATCTGTTATATCTTTTAATTAAAAACATAAAATTAACATAACTCATGACAGTACAGTAAATAGTAAAAGCAATGAAATATACATTTTTAATACAAAATATTACTTTATCTATTTTTATTCAATCGAAATTCATTTGACTAATATAACTTGAGCTTAGGCATTAGGTGCTGTGTTTCAGGCAAAAATCAGAGATAAGTGCCTTAACCTTTTATATAGGGGATTTCTTCCCTGCAACAAACAGAAATTCATATAAAAGGGTTTCACTGTAATAAGGATTGTTTGAATTGCCTGGTCTGATCCAAAGCAAACTGTCTATGGAGAGCAGCAGGGCTGGATTATTTATCAACAGTCTGAGCAATTAAGAACCAGTTGGCTGCAATATGTTATTTACAAATGAACACAATGATGTGACTTCATTTTAAATTCTCTTTCTTCGTCATAGCAAGTGAAGTATAATTCTTGGCGTTTGAGGTGAATACTTTAACACCATATTTCTTCAAGTCTGATTGATGTAGATATAACCATTAAATTATTTTATACAGGAGAAACATACTAAAAATTAAGTATCTAAAATGTTTGGGTTCAGAAAGAGGCAATGTTTCTTATCTTTAATATGGTGCTGTTCAGTTAGCAGCACTGATGATGTTTGAGCTTTCAAGCCACAGACATGAGTGCAGGTCCTGATGTTGCTTTTACCAGCTGTGTGGCTTTGAACAAGTTACTTATATCCGGCAGTCTTGACTTCCATGCTCACAAAATGCAACAGTACATATTTCATAGAGTTGGGGTGAAGATTAAAATGAGACAAAATTTTTAAGGTGCTTGGGACATAGTTGATGATTATAAAAGGGATTATCACTGCTGCTCTTACACATTTTGTAGCTAAAAGTATGTAATTTAACAATAAGTAAAATTCTGAAATGTAAGAGGTTAAATTTTATTCTGGACTCAGAGAAAAGAGAGATCTAGGTTTTAAGTGTATGGGTTCTGACTTTTATAGCTAAAAGGTGGAAAAGCACTTTGATTCCAATATATCATTCTCATGTGAATCACTCACTGATATTAAATTCATTTGCTTTGGAAAGTAACAAAATATATTTATGTGAAAAATATTGCATGATCCCACCTTCAAGAGGTACCTGAAACAGCCAAATTCACAGAGACAGAAGGTGGAATAGCAGTTACCAGGGGCTAGAGGAAGGGGGCAGCTTTTGTTAAATGGGTAGAGTCTCCATTTGAGATGAAGGAGAAATTTTGGAGATGGGTAGTGGTGATAGTTGCATAAAAATGTAAATGTACCTAACGCCACTGAATAATATGGTACAGTTAAAAATGGTACAGATGGTAAATTTTATGCTATGTGTATTTTACCACAATTTTCAAAACACTAAAAAACATCATTTGTGAATGTGAATTGTTCATTTTCATAAGCTTATCTATGAAGACACATTTAGACACTTTAAAATTTTGTAAGATTTCTTTCATCTAAGACTATTTCCATTCTGAGCAATGATACTACTTGTTTTATTAATATTTGTTCTTTTGGTATATGAGTAGTTAAAATATAAATCATACAAAAGCCTTTGTTCTTAATATTGTCTAGAATTCTGTCCTCAAAATTTGTTTTTTAATTCCATGGAGTTGGATAAGCAAAGAATATCCTAGCTACTAAATATTAATAGTATTTCCAACAATGATGAGCTACTATAATTTCTCAACAGACAAAATTCTTAAAATTTTCTTACTATTTATTAATTTCCCATTTTATCATAAGATACTAAGTCTACTAAGACTAAAAATCTGGAGTGAAAGTCAAGCATGTTTGTTGAATAAACAAAGAAAGGGAAAGAGAGGGGAAAGGGGGACAGAAAGAGAGAAAGAAGGATAAACAGAACTGATATGTTGCATTTACAACAAATAGAGCAGGAAGAATTTCTGGGATGAACACTAAGTCAACCATTTGCTAGCTATATGGCCTTTGTCACACCATCCACCTCAATTTTTACAAGGCTTCTGAAATTTTTTTTGGAGGATATAGCCCTTTTAAAGACATAATTTTCTGCGTGGTTAGTATCCATGTGAATCTTCTGGACAGGGCTGCTATTCAGTGGGATTGGACCATGATTACCGATGAAAGCATGTTTCATATTTTGAGTTTCTTTCTTTTTTCTTTCTATCAGGTGAATTACAATGGGAGGGTGGTTGGGGATAAATGAGAACCACCCTCTTAGAGGTCAAGAGATAGTCAAAGCTTACCACAATCAGGTCCCAATTTTTCCCCTCAATTATCTCTTACCACTCCATTCCTTTAAAGCTCAAGCTGATCAAATTACTATTTTTATTTCTTTACCTCCATGTCCATATTACTCCCCTTGCCTCCAAATGTCTTACCATTCTTTTCCAGCTGTACAAACCTTATCTCTCCTGTTTTTCTTGCAAGCATTTATAGGAGAAACTATCTTTTCTCTCCTACTCCAAGTACTGTCAGCTGGAGGAAGCTGGCATTCTCCTAGTTCCAAAGCATACTTTCAAACAATTTCATACCAGTAAGAAGTACTCCTTCAAAAAGGACAACACCAACAACAAACCAAAAGAACAAGGAACCTTTTTAATCTCAAACTTTCCACACTTAAGACTATCCCTTTCGGTATTGTCATACTTCGGGTATCTGATTACTTACCCTCCTTCCTCCCTTCTCCTCACTTCTCCCTGACTTGCTCCAAGTATGCTCTAAAGATTCTGACATCAAGCTAATGGTCTAACTCTTCATCACAACTCCTGTCATTATCTTGAGAGTTTTCAAATTCATGTAGACAACACATTTAATTACTAAATCCATAGCCATGTTCCAGACCTTGTGAACTAGAAATGTTCCCCCTCTTAAGTCTTAAACTCTTAATGCAAATTCCTCTCCTTCAACCCCTGGTGGCTTGACTTCTCTTAAAGGTTCTTCTATCTGGTTTAGACAGATTTAATACAGATATTTCTTGTTCCCCATTTTTAAGTTCCTTCTTCACATATTTTTTATATACAATGGCTACATGGTATTTTGCTACATGAACATACCATAAATGACCTAATAGTTCCTTTATTGAGTATTTATGTTGAAAACCAAAAAAAGATGAGTTTCAAGGAGGAAACAGTCATTTTCAAAAGCACACTTTAAAAAAAAAGTTGTTTTTTTGTTCGTTGTTTTTTTTTATCAAATGGTTCATTTTTATTCCGGTATAGTTAACATATAGCGTTCTGTTAGTTTCAGGGGTAAATATAGTGATTCAACAATTCTACACATTATTCAGTGCCTACCACAAGAGTACTCTTTAATCCCCATCACCTATTTCACCCATCCCCCACCCACCTCCCCTCTGGTAACCATCAGTTTGTTCTCTATAGTTAAGTCTGTTTCTTGGTTTCTCTCTCTCTCTCTCTTTTTTTTTTTCTTTGCTCCTCAAAAGCAGAACACTTAAAGTAATACATATTCATAATAATTTTGAGTAATACATCTATATAAACTCAACCAGATCAGTTGGCTTTTTGTTAAGATTGAGCAGTACAAAGGAAACACTTGCATTAAAGTGATGACAATGGAACCTTTAAAAGCCATGCACATATGGATAACAGATATGATGAGCATGAGGCTTTGTTATTTTCCACATCAGTGCTATCCTCATTTCATAATTTTGAGTATAATCATTAAAATGATTTATTATCAAATAATCCTGAGTATTTTGTGCATATGCTTTGCCTTGTTTGTTGGCAAATGATACCAATCTGTTCATTATCAACAGCTGATTTTTAAAATACCCTTTCTTTTTCCACATACACACAAAATTAAAAGCCATATATATTATTTCTTACAATTATTATTAATATAATCTTTAAAAGCAGGAGAACCAAATCTAAATTCATTTCATAATTATCATGAAAATATATTAATAAAGTTTTAAATTAATACCAGTAGGTCAGAAGCTTAAGTTATCTAGCCTTTAGTATTTATCTAAACTACAAGACCCTGAAGGGAAAAAATGTTTCAGTTTTCTGCTCTGACACTAAACGGTGATAAATGTTGCCTTCTTAACTTATAACTGATTTGGAGGTCCTTCTGTTGAAGTTTCTTTCTCCCTCTCCCTCTCCCCCTCCCCACCTCACACTCTCTCTCTAAGATAAATAAATCTTAAAAACAAAGAACAAACAAACAAACAAGAAAGCTCCCAAAACAGTAGGACCATTT